AGTCTTTTAATTTTAAAAGATCTAATTTAAACTTTTAAGATTATGCTTTTAAACGAGTTTAATATGAATAAACCTCTGAAAAGCAGACTAGCATTGCATATGCTGGGGCATTGTGACCCCAGAGGCTCATCTGGACTGTCACTCCTCTCGTCTCTGTGAGGGTGTGAAGCTTCATCTCACCCTGTAGTTTATCCCTGAAGGATCTGGGTGGGTTTTTGTTTATGACATCTAAAACTAATTGTTAGTTTCTACTACTTCTTCAGTTCTATGAAAATGTAAGGAGTTTTTATATTTTATATTTATATATATAATTTTTATATAGGCTATATTAATTTAGCTAAAACTAAGGTTAAATAGTTTGAATAAATTTGTCATTATACATTGAGTTATATACTTTATTTGATTTTATGGAACCAACTTAGTGCAAAACAGTATGTAAAAAACAATGTAAAAATGCAGTTTTCTGTGATGGTCGTGTTTAGGTGTACGGGGTAGAATATACTGTTACAGTTCAAAAATCATTATGGCTATATTAATAACAATTATACTTTAGGTCGCCATTAAACAAACTCATTACAGTAATCTTGTGAAAGATACGAATGTATTAAAACTATAAAGATTTAATTTAAACAATCTTTTCATTTTTAAAAGATCATGTTTAAACTTTTACGATTATGCTTTGAAATAAATTTAGTACGAACAAAACTTTGGCTCTGGAAAGGCTTTAGCAGACTAACATTACATGATGCACAGAGGCTCATCTGCTCTGTCACCCTATATCCTAAAGCTAACATTATTGTAAAGTAACGTATTTCTCTGAAGATGTGCTGGGGATCGGAAGGAGCTTATAAGCATGCTATCAATGCAGCATTCTCATTACAGATAGGCCTATGTGAGGATTTTCTCACAGATACTACTTGAGGAATTATTAAACATTTCACATAATGTGTGTGATAAGTTGTGAGAGCCACAAATTTCAAAGTTCTTTACATGCAGCCTGATAAATAAAAAAATATAGTCAAGTTTTCGCCAGAGACCATCGATATAGCATATTGGTTTTTATGAATTTAATTAAAATCATATTTTTAAAAAGGTCTATTTCAAACTTTTAATGCTTATACACTATGAAAATAAATTTAGCAAAACATTCACAGTCTCATTCTGATCACTGAACACACCCCTCTGACTGTCAAACGCTGGTGTGAGAAAGAGAGAAATAATCTGGGGGTTCTTTTCAACTTTAAATGGTCAATATGGACATCTATGTGCTAGGAGCTACTTCAACCCTGGTAAAAATGTAAGATGATTTTATTTTTATCTAACATAATTGCTACAGTAAATTTGTAAATTTTTTATTTTTAAATAAACAGAATGCTTTTCAACTTCAGTAATTTAGTAAGATTTTAAATGAACAACATGCTTTTCAACTTTAGTTAAATTAGTAAACTATTTATTTTATATATGATATATTTTAATTTATACACTTTTAAAGGAACAGAATGCTTTTCAACTGTTGTGTAAGATATTTCTCAATGTGCTCAGGAACGTGTCACAAAAACAGATACCAGCCCAGCCACACGCTGGTGTGACAGAGAGAAAAGACTTCAAGGGAAAACACTTGTGGGTTTTTTTCAACCATGGAAGATGATTTTATTTTTGTTTAATTTATATACTTTTAATTGAACAGCATGGTTTTTCAACTTGAGTCAGTGTCAAATATTTGCGAATGACTAAATGTAAATTTTATAACCATTTCATTTAAATTTAAATGAACAACATGCTTTTTCAACTTCTGTGTGAGATAAAACTTCCAGCAATGTGGAGGGAGGGGAATTCCTGCTTTGACACACACACACACACACACACGCACACACACACACACACACACGCTCCCTATGTTTTTTGAGACAGTGCAAGGTCATTCATACATTTTTAACTGTTTGCAATTTTTTTGTGGCTTCATTTTATTTAAACTTTTTGTGTGAGATTTTATTTTATATTCTTTTAAAGAACAGAATACTTGTGACTGATAAACTTTTACAGTTTTTTCTTATCACTTTCTCTCACACACACACACACACACCTGCTATGATAAGCTTAGGCATAGCGAGGGGATGCGCTGAAAAAATAACTATCACATCACTTTGTAACTGTAACATCAAAGGCCAATACATCTCAAACTAACTTCAAACGATTAAACAAACTGTCATCATCCATCATTTTGACAGAAAGTTTAACAGGAAGGGGCGGAACTAGGTCAAAGGTAACCGGAAGGGGCGGAACTAGGTCAAAGGTAACAGGAAGGGGAGGAACCGGAAGGGGCGGGGGAATAATCAAAGGATAGCCACGCCCACCTGTCAATCAATCATTTTGACAGGTGGTGTATGGTATTACTACTCATACCTCAGTTTTAATCGGCACTATTTTCTATCCATTTCTATCAATCCGCGCTGCTGTCAACGTCAACAGTGCGCACATTCAGATCAGCTGTTCCATAGTGTTTACACAATCGATTGACAACGACGTAAAAAGTATTAAATTAACAATGGTGCGAACTTGTAAATTCCCAGGCTGTGACCACAAGGATGTGCCGGGATCAAAGTTCAGATTCCATCGTTTTCCTGTTTCGAATATAACTGAGACAGCTTAATTAACGAGCATAATCTCCATCTGCTGTTAGTCGACCTCACCAGCAGGGGGTGCAAGCGCGTGTTGTTGATTTGGCTGGTTGCCATCGGCAACTCTGCGGGAGCTAAAATATCCTAAATAAAGGATTTTCGTGTGTGTAGCAATAGTATCCAGCTGCAGACCCGCAGCACCACCAGTTTCAGAACCCCAGCGCCAGAACCGGAAGTAAGGGGCGGAGCTTAGGTTCTAACACCAGCGCCAGGACCGGAAGTGAGGGGCGGAGCTTACGTTCTAAACCGAGTAACGCCACCTAACGTTTTGGTGCGTGATTTGCTTAGACACGAAACTTTATTTTTACACACGAAACGTCATACTTTATACGTATTATAATGATACATTAAAGTATAGTACAATAAGCATTTTAAAACATTGATTTTGTGTAATATAATTCTATATAGTTTAGGGATGTGCACGAATATTCGAATTTTCGAATATTCGATCTGTAATTATTATTCGAAAAATAAAATACTATTCGAATTTTACTACGTTGCTTTGCTGGCCGTAAATGCAGTGAATCCATGATAAATCCCAAGCACTAACTCGCAGTTATAATTACATGCACAGGGTGGCGCTGTGGAGTGTGTTAACAAGTTGTGTGTATTTGATCACATAATGTTGTCGTCTGCCTCGCGAAGTTTGGAATTACTTGAAAATGATCTTAATAAATGGAATCACTTTTGATCAAATTAATTAATTAATCTGAGTTATAATATCATCACCACAATGAGAAATCACATGAAATCCAAAAAGTCGAATGAGGAAAGATAGCTGTCCATCACTGCATCACGACTGCAGGTAAGTGCAGCTGGACCCCGCGTGATCCGAAATGATAATTTATCTTATAGCAAAATGATTTTGAGACATATACTTCCTTTAAGTTTCGTTGAGGGAGACAGGTTTAAGAACAGAAAACGCAAAGTGCTGTTAGAAACTTAGAACACCGTTATCTTTGTGTCTCTGAAGCGTCTGTCAGCAAAGCGCCTTTTCTCACTCGAGCATAAATTGCTGGCGGCGCCCCTGCATGTGGATATTGTTTTTCTCAATATAAACGTGAAACAATATAAACACGATAATCATATGCTGACTCGAGTGTGTGTGTACGTTCTGTACGATATCTGGCGCAATCTGCTTTATTAGGCGTTTTTTCCCCGTTCGCGCTGCTTGAGCATGCTTTTATTAATGCTTTTGTTTTTTATATTTTTTGTTTAGACATAGGCCTACTGTTTAATGTTTTCAACTAAAAGAAAACTTTAACATATATTGTAAGCTTGTTGTGTATATTGCCTATTTGTAAGCTTGTTCAGAAATGGTGACAAAAACGTAAAAAAAAAAAAAAAAAAAAAAAAATAACGTCTTTTTCGTTAAACGTCATTTAAATAAACGAATATTCGAATTTTATGAGCCCGAATATGCGAATGCAATATTTGTGAAAAATGCCCATCCCTAATATAGTTATCCTTTCATGAGTGTTACTTCCTGATCATGATGGTAAAAAATAACCCTGCTGAAAAAAACAATAGAAACCATTACAGAATTCCTAATGGTTTCCACTACAAAACCATTACAAACCACCAGCCGTTAACCATTAAAACCATTACCAAGTGGAGTCCATTACGTCGTGTGTTTTGGGCCATATTCCATTAGGATTTATTGGTTTTAAGGGTTTCCATTACAAATTTGTATTGGGTCTGTATTTTAATGGTTTCCATTACAGTTTTGTATTGGTTCTGATGGTTTCATTACAAATTTGTATTGGTCTTGAATTGCACATATTTAATGGTTTCCATTACAGTTTTGTATTGGTTCTGATGGTTTCAATACACATTTCTATTGGTCTTGATTTGCACATATTTAATGGTTTCCATTACAGTTTTGTATTGGTTCTGATGGTTTCAATACAAATTTCTATTGGTCTTGATTTGCACATATTTAATGGTTTCCATTACAGTTTTGTATTGGTTCTGATGGTTTCATTACAAATTTGTATTGGTCTTGATTTGCACATATTTAATGGTTTCCATTACAGTTTTGTATTGGTTAAGATTTGTAGGTTTAATGCTTTTAGCTGTTAATAATTAGGACATTAATTACAGATTTTAATAAATTAATTTGAATTATAACTACTATTATACACAATTGATATAAACTTCACACCAACTTTTCAATAGCTTACAGCTCAGGTTTTGTTTTGCAAAGAATGAAGAACTTGCACCTGAAATAAAAATTATAGTATTAAGACCTGCTTTTTTACTCAACCCAGCTGGAAATAAACATCTGACACAAAACATTAATATTACATTTTTATTATTTGATTAATTTATTCTTTTACATTGTGTGGCTTCACTTGGGCTGACTGATTAGACCTGCAAAAAGAAGGAGAATTCATTAGGACAATGTACCTCTTAAACCACATTACCAGTACATAAGATTATCCATACATTATATATTTAAATATATTCATCCAACATGTTTGGGCATACTTTGATACCCATTTTTCTGTGGGTATCATGACTCCATGTCCTAGATCCTGAAAAAAACAAAAAAAACATTAATATGTAGAATAAGACCATTTTAGCTAATTAAAAAGTAGAGGTCGACCATTACATTGGTTTTACTGATTACTTGGCACCAATAGGTAGCAGTCATGCTTGGCAGAGTTACTTTAAAAAATGTATTCTGTTAGTTACAAATTACTTTAAAAAAAAAGTATTCAGTAACATAATCCAACTACCACAATATGAAAGTAATGTAATCTGGTTACTTTTGGATTACTAAAAAGGTCACGCATATATAAATAGTCAAGCAAGAAGAAATATTATATATAAAAAAAAATGCTTTTATTTATTAAGAATTTGGTCCAGTGAACAATATTTTGCAAAATATTAACTATTTAAGAAAATGTCATATAGCTGTAAGTAACTATGTTGTAGCTAAATGCTCAGTTATGAAACCAGAATTTACACAACAGAAATGTTTCTTCAACAGGAACCGAACTGCACTGACACCCTGCACATAAAATTGCAGCTGTTGTGAACTTTATTCTTCTAAAGTTTAGAACTCAGAAGAAAAAACCAGGAGAATTTTGGGATATCTTTCAGCAGGATTCTTTATTGAGAACACATTTACATTTACACTACCGTTCAAAAGTTTGGGGTCGGTATGATTTTAAATACTTTTAAAAGAATTCTCTTCTGCTAACCATGGCCGCTGTGATGGTACCACGAGCCGTCGCTCATTGATCGATCGTAGGCTTCTGGGAGGGATGTAGACTTGTAGTAGTGAGTGGAAGTAGGAGGGAGCTGAACCTGTGGTCAATCTGTAAGCAAGCGTCAAAGCCTTGAACTTGATGCGAGCAGCGAGTGGTAGCCAGTGCAGAGAGATGAATAGAGGAGTGACGTGGGCCCTTTTGGGCTCGTTGAAGACAAGACGAGCTGCAGCATTCTGGATCATTTGTAGAGGTTTAGTTGCACATGATGGAAGTCCAGCCAGAAGAGCATTGCAGTAATCAAGCCTAGAAATGACCAGGGCCTGGACGAGAAGTTGTGTTGCATGCTCAGTTAGGAAAGGCCTGATCTTACTGATGTTGTGCATAGCAAACCTGCATGATCGAGCTGTCTTTGTAATGTGGTCTGTGAAGGTCAGCTGATCATCAAAGATTACTCCAAGATTTCTGACCGACCTTGATGGGGTGATTGAAGAAGAATCTAGCTGGATAGTGAGGTCGTGCTGTAGAGACTGATTGGCAGGGAGGACGAGAAGCTCAGTCTTTGCCAGGTTGAGCTGCAGGTGATGTTCCTTCATCCATGCCGAGATGTCCGCCAGACAGCTTGAGATCCGTACAGCTACTGTGGGATCATCTGGTTGAAATGAGAGGTAGAGCTGGGTGTCATCAGCATAGCAATGGTAAGAGAAACCATGTGCCTGTATGATTAGGGTTGGGTATCGTTTGGGTTTTATCCGATACCAGTACCTACTCGGTATTTTTTAAACGGTTCCGGTGCTTAAACGGTTCTTAAATCGGTACTTAAGAAAATGAAACCGCACACACTTTATCAAAAAATAATACCCTTTAATTTACAGGGCCAAACTGGACACAATATTAACTTAAATCTTTAAACCATATAATTACAAGTAGCATATGGTAATAATAAAACCAATATAAAATAAAAATTAATATTTACATAATATCAAATGAAACAATATTGTATCAAACAATGTAATAATACTGGAGATTAATAGAGATTACTAGCAGGCAGAGCTGCCAACTCTCACGCATTGACCGTGAGACTCACGCAAATGACCCTTTTCACACAGAAAAATCGCGGACAAAGAGGACACTGACACCGACAGACAAGACAGAGAAGGTTACTTTTGATATGGAACAAATCCACAGCTGTCAGATTCTGTCAATATTTTTACGAGATTCACACAATAAATAACGTTTTGGCTCTTTGAAATGTGACAGATCGCTGTAGCGCGTCAGTTCAAACGGCACGTGATACGGCAGCCTACAAATCCACTGCTTCTTAGCTACGCAGCGTTGAGTAAACCTATGAAAGAGAACATCTCTGGTTACTGGTGTAACATATCTCTCAAAAGGGAACGGGACGCCGCCAAGCTCCTCGCGCTGCCGACCAGCTTCCTTTTTCGGCAGAGAAATCAGAGGAGCAGATGGCGCGCGCGCGCCAACATATGACGACGTAAGTGCGTCGATGCGGCGCCCGCGCCATCAGCCAATGAATTGGCTTGATTCTATATGGGATTCAGACTATCGGCACACCCAGAGGGCGTTCTGACACGTAATTTTACACGTGAAATGCAGCCAAACCTTGCGAGAAAGAGCGCGCATGCGAGGAAGAGGAAACTGTGCTCCAAACTGTGTAGCACACGCACGGCGGAGAGGGAGAGAGCGAGAGACCTTGTGTGTGTGTGTGTGTGCATAATGAAGTTAGGCACCGAAATCAGGCACCGAAATTTTCGTTCTTATTCGGTCTGGTTACTACCGTTTACGTCGGAACCGGTTCCCTATTGGCACCGAGTTTCGGTACCCAACCCTATGTATGATGGGTCCCAGTGATGTGGTGTAAATGGAGAAGAGGAGCGGTCCGAGAACTGAACCCTGAGGAACCCCTGTGGTCAGTTGATGTGCTTTGGATATCTCACATCTCCATGCGACCTTGAAGGACCTACCTGTGAGATAGGACTCAAACCAGTTGAGGGAGGTTCCAGTGATGCCCAGTGATGAGAGGGCGGTCAAGAGGATCTGATGATTCACAGTGTCGAAGGCAGCAGACAGGTCCAGTAGAATGAGAACTGATGATTTGGAAGCAGCTTTTGCGATCCGCAGGGCTTCCGTGACTGACAGCAATGCAGTCTCAGTTGAATGTCCTTTCTTGAAGCCAGATTGGTTGACATCCAGCTGGTTGTTCAGAGACAGGAAGGATGATACTTGGTTAAAAGCAACTCGTTCAAGTGTTTTCGCAATGACTGGTAGGAGAGAGACAGGTCTGTAGTTCTCTAGAAGTTATGTTTTCTAGAGAACTACAGCTGTTGATGCTGTGGTTCGTCCAAAATCTCTCTAATGTAAGTTTACATGGTATCTTATAGGCATTCGGTGGGCAGGAAGGGGCTGACCTTACAAAACCTTAGGGAAGACCACTACATCTAAAGACAATAGAGGCCATTACCCCTAATTGAGATAATGGTACCCCCCCCCCAAATGCCCAAAAATGCTGGAAAAGTGGGCAGAGCCTAGTGGAGAGGGGGCATGCATCTGAGACGTATCTCTCTGTAGGCAAGGGCATGGTTAGCTGGTACCCTCTGACGTCAGAGGGTACCACAACATCCAATAGGAAAATTCAACTGCAGTAGCCACTGTTCAACCTGAAGAGGGCAGCACTAAGACGTTTTTACACCATATTTTGTAAAATTGAAAAACTTTAAACTAGGGATGTCCCGATCCGATCACGCGATCGGAAATCGGGCCCGATCACGTGGTTTCAGACTCGATCGGAATCGGACGTTACCTCCCGATCAGGACTCGGATATATGTAAATTAGCCGTGTAACGGTACATGTATTCGTAATTATTGAACCGTTTCGGTACGAGCTGCTTCCGGTTCGGTACACATACAAACCGAACGATTCCTAGGACCATTTTTTCTGCAGACAAAATCCGCGCTGGCACGATCACCACAACGTTGCGCAACATCAAATGGCAAACGTAATGAAAGCGGAATGAAACTGCGCTACTCATCATATTGTGCTTAACGGACCATTTATCAGTTCGGACCAGCAACATCTGTGCAGCGCGAGATCAAGTGACACTGTGCTAAGAGATCCAGTGAAGAAAACATTTGAATTCGCCACTGAAGTAATAACATTGCTGCGAGATCTAGTGAGTTCGCATCAGAGACTATTCAAATTTCTAATTTTCTAATTGTCAAATAGAGCTATTTAATCATTTGGTGAAATAGTTTTTATTGAAATATTGCACTATATATATCAGAAAAAATTAAATATTGCAATATCAGTTTATTTCAATATCGTGCAGGTCTTTTACCGTGGGTCATTTTTAACCTTTAATATTACCTTATAATAATAAAACAAGTAAAATCATCACTGTAAATAACACATAATGTACCTGCTTCTTTTAAACAGTGTCACTTAAGCATGGAAACACTGAACTCACCTTTATGATTGCTGAATCTGCCCTGGAGCTCATCTGTGTCTTTCTCCTGAAGTGTAAACTGCATGTCCTCCTCCAGATCTTGATCTTCTCCTTCACTGACTCACTTCAGCCATCATCTCATGTGTCTGCTGTCATAGAAAAATGCCCTCAATAATCCTGACCATTGCATTTCTTTTGACATATTATTCAACAAGCTTAAACTTAAAGGAGTCATAATGTGCAATTTTCACTTTTCCATGAGAATCAATGTATGTTATGATTGACTAACGATTATACATTGGCCGGGATGCCGATATTCAAAAGTGAAGCGTTTGTTTACCCCAGGGTTCTTAAACTAGCCAACGTGCACGCGCACTCAAATACGAGATTTCAATTTCTCCCCCGACTTGACGTCAAGACGGGGCCGGATATACCATATATGGACACCGCAGAGGAGGCCCGCCCTGCCCCTCTCCCCATCATTTTCAGTCAAGAAAGATGCAGAAACGTAGTGCACACGTGAGTTGCTCTGTGGTTGACTGTCATAATCCACATTCTAATGTTTTTTCTTTACCCAAAACTGACCAAACTACAAGGGACAAGTGGATGAAATTTATTTTCAATGATGCTGTTCCAACAACCATCTCAACTTGCTCAACGTTAGGTGTCTGCGCTAAACATTTCACAAAAGAATCTTTTACAAATTTGGGGCAATATCAGGCGAAGTTGGCATCGAAGCTACGTTTGGAAAAAGGTGCCATTCCAACAATCAGGGACTTGCCTGAATTTGAAACGGTAAGACTGTGTTTTTATTACTATATTTTGTGTAAATAGCAGCTAACTACTAATGCGGTTAATGTATGTGATGTAAACACGGGGAATGGACTCTACGAATGCTAGCCACATCTTTCCACTTTAAACAGACTAGAAAATGATACAGCTATTATTTAATATAATCGTATACAATATAACAATGACAACATATCATTGTATTGATTTTTTTATATAATAGATAAGGATAGATACATTTAAAAAACAGTCAAGAATTAATAAACATAAAGAAAAACATAACGTTACATGTCTGCAGATGAAAATTATTAAATATCTAAAAAACCACAACGTCAAAAAAGGCAAAAACAACACATTATAGCAAACGTTAATCTCTATAACCACTGTAAGCTGAAAATAAAGTAGACTACATCTCCGTTAATGTAATCTACATTAAATTAAAGCTAAACTTATGTGGGAGAAAATAGCAAAAAAACGTTTTAGCTCGTTACTGATGTTAATGTATGTCTCAGTCAAAAAAATTGTCTTTACCATTCAGAGACATGTTGATGTAGACGTCCTTCAATTGACTGTTGTTCCTCTTCCGTTTCCAGCTCTGGTTCAGAGTCTGGCTCAAACATATACGGTTGAATCCCGTAGGTCGCGGCCAGGTCGGGTTCATTAACAACTTGCGCCATGATCTCTTTTTGGAATGATATGCTGAAGTTACCTGCGGTGTCAAGCCCCCTCCTTCCTGCCACCAATCAACGCGCCCCTCATTTGCATTATTAAAATGACCGTCCACGACAGCCAAAACCTCGCATCAGATCTCGCGAGACAATAATGCATTCAGAAATAAGGGTCAAACGAGCTCTCTGTTTATTTTTTTCCAATTTTTCTTTTTTAGAAGGGCATGAAATGACTATAATAGAGCGTGGGTATCAAAGTTAATACTACATTATGACTCCTTTAAGACATAAACTGTGTTTAAGTGAATACTCTCCAAGCTCCAAGGAATATATCGTAAATTAAATTCGGGAGAACAGACCACAAATGTGCAGCATATGTTGTCCTTTTTCATACTCTTACAGCAGATTACAAAGGGGAAAAAAGAAAAGAAAAGGATCACGAGGAAAAGAAAGCAGCGACTGAAAAGAGCTCTTGCCATAGATATTCTTGTTATAACATGTCATGTTAAAATACCAAGTATAACATTATTCTTATGATGTCTGAAAATAAATCATGAAGGAAAATTGAGACAATATATTTAATAAATAGTGCGTGTAATTTCTTCAGTACCGTCAGCAGAACTGATAACGTCCAAGCTTATCGATACTGCGGTCTTCCATAATTTGGCCCCAGGACCCATTTAATACCGGGTTTCAGTACCCATGCCTACATATGGGTGTGTTCATATGGATGAAATCCTGTTGTGTTCGGTCTCTTGATTTGTGATAGTGGCAGCTATTGTGAAACTCACCTTCTTCATGTACTGAGTGTAGATGGGATCAAGGTCTTGTCTTGAAGAATCACAGGGCCAAGCGCTGGGGATTATGTCTCATCTGATAACAAGAGCATAGCGATAAGTTTAAGAACTCTAATGGTATCTTTACCCCCTGATATTGCATTGGGGATATAAATTCAAAAAAAAAAAAAAAGAATTTATATTACATAATTCTTGAGATAATGTATTGTGAAATAAATGCATATTAAATTAGTATCATGATTAATCAATAATTCACCCTTTGTTGTAGAGGTTTTTTTTCTGATGCTCCTGAAATCACTTTTTTTATCACTATTTGTAAGTGACGTCACTGATTAACAGTATGTGCATTCTATTAGATTAAATAAATTAGCATACTAACAATCACCCATTGACAAATTACCAGCAAAACAAAACTATCAAAAATTTTGATCTACACAAAGATGTGGTTAAAACCCCAAATTTTCATAAACAAAAGCTCCAGTTAGCCTTAACTTAACATAAATTGGGCCTAACTGGGCCGGTTGAGATGCTAACGGACTTTTTTGAAGACACAAAACCATTTCTATAAAGTAAATGTTCAACAGAAGCGTGTCAATTACACGTAATAAAGGTGTCAGGGACGTTTGTATGTATTATTTGTGTGAATTTGTTGACTAAACTCACCTGAAAGCAGTGAAAACAACAGCGAGAGACGCGAGATTTGCTGTTTGTCAGTTGATGACGTTTCTTCCCCGTTTCCATCTGCTCTCGCGCAGCGCGCTCGCTCCAGTGTTTGAATGCGACTCGAATGTTCACGCGCACGCGCATTAAAACACTTAAAAGTCACGCAGCACTTAAATAAACATCTAGAATTAAAATATATAACATCATTTAAAATACCATTAATATTAAATCATGAATTTTAAACTCATTGTGTAATTCTATGACCCATTCATGTGCAAAATGCCAGAACCCAGTTTATATGCCAGGTTTTGTTACAATACTAATAATTGCGTTATATTATATAACTAAATGGCAAAAAAAAAAAAAATCTGGGTTCCAATAATTATCTATCTATCTATCTATCTATCTATATATATATATATATATATATATATATATATATATATGATGTTCATCAGCTTGGCCAGGCTGGGAGACCAACTAAAACCAGCCAACCAGCTTAGGTTGGTTTTAGCTGGATTTTTCAGCAGGGAGGCCAGGGGCATGTTCAAGATCACAACGGTGCGCAACGTTTTGCTACGGTTTCCAGGTTGAACGTCATGTTTCCTGGAAACGGCGTGCACCGGTGTGCAACGGGGTTTGAGATGCGTTTTCTCTTGTTTGGTGGGCGTGTCAGAACTGCAGTCCAATCAGCAGCAACATGTATATAAAGCACACGGTATTAAAGAGAACTCGCACAATGGAAGTAATTTACAAATGTGTTCGATACGCAACAACTAAGGATAGCAGAAGACATGTTTGTCATAAGTATTATTGTAAAAATATAGGATATCAACATAATGATGTAGTTGTTTATATTTTTAGCTTCATTGCAAGTGTGTGACATTTGGTATAGAAATAAAGAATGCATGTAAAGTGCTTTTCCTAAAAATTAGAAAGAAAATACAGGGTATTAATAAAACATTATGAACAACAAGAATGTGAGGCGATGTGTTTTAGTCTTTATTAGGTAAGATGTGCTTCCATTTCAGTTTCCACAAATCCCTTCACTCGATTGGGATGTTCTCTTGTGTTCTGGGCGGCAAGTGCAGTAACTGTAACATCGGGCATATTTTGTAGTATTAAACATATTTATACCGACTTCATCAGGCTCCGAAAATTCTTCACAAAGAACACAAAAAGCCTTCTCAGCTGCCGTAGTTGCAACTCTTGCGGCATCACAACAGTGGTTCAACGCATCACCGTTTCTGTTTAAAAAACGTTCTGCAACGTTTTGTCGGCGCTGAACGCAGCCCAGGTGTTGATGTTGACGAGGAAGAGCCAAACAGCCAATGTAACGGGTAACGTGAGGCTATCAAGCTTATTATCCAGTAGGATTGGCCCGATTATTTGAATAAATTTGACTATTAAAAAAGAAAAAGAAAAACTTTAGTAGCCTACATAGGGCGGAGGTGATCCAGCAAAGTCTGACATACTTATTGAAGAATAACTTTTGATTTTTAATAGACAAATAAATAAATAAATAAATAAAAACCCAGAGAAAAGGAGAAGAATTCTCATCGGATATCAAAATAAAAGTCTTCACACAACATATACCTGTTAAATAAAAGTATTACAGTGAAACAGGTGAGACAGTGGTCATAAGTTTCATATTTCTTTGTCATTTTATTTTTTGTAGAGCCTATTTTTAAAAGGTTATTTAAAAACTTTAAGAAAAGCATTTTGAATAGCTTGTGACATATTGTGTACTGTTGTTAAACAGTAGCCTAGTGTTCAAACAAAGATACATTTAAATATTATAAAATACATTATTTATGACATTATCCTATATATATATATATATATATATATATATATATATATATATATATATATATATATAACTAGAACCTACGTGAATATGTGTATGAGCAGACCTACACACAACCATACCTTAAACAGAGATGTTGCTTTTTTAAAGGCATGCAGTGGAACAGAGTCAGAGTCTGAGAGAGACCATAGGACAGGCAGCATGAAGCAGAACACTACTGATCCCCTGTCAGTGATTGACCTACAGTCTGACATGGACACTGCTTTGACTGCCACAGGAACTACCACAAAAGCTTAGGCCATGCTAATGATTATGAGCCATGCAGCAAAGCATAAAATAACTGGTTGCCAGTTACATGATTTACTGCAGTTGATCAATAAATTGTTTGGGCAAGAGGTTGTACCTCGATCCAAGTATCTTTTTTAACAGTGTTTAAAAACAGTTGTGAGGAAATAGAATTTCAGTTCTACTGCGAAAGTTGTCATTTAAACATAGGAACAGTCCAGGAAATCAAACAAACAAATTATATATTAATATCATCAAACCAAAGAAAACACAAAATTTGTTGGAGACTTAATGGTTCATACTGGTGTCCAGTAGATACCAACATGCAACCTATAAGTTGCCAAAGGTGTTCTATTGGTCCTTAATGGTATCCAATAGAAAAAACATGCCACCAATAGAAGAAAGCAAATCACCAATAGAGACCTACTAGGACCATTACAGTTTCCATTAAAACCAATACAGACAAATAGACAAAATATGCCACCAATAGAAAAAAGTAAATTACCAATAGAGACTCAATAGGACCATTACAGTTTCCATTAAAACCAATACAGTTCTCTTTATAACCATTAAAACCATTAGCAATTATGTAATGGTTTCTATTGTTTTTTTCAGCAGGGAATGCTTGAAACTTATGGTCATTTTATATAAAATATACTTTATTTCACAAGAACATGTGCAGCATGCATTTTTCTTTATGTAAAATAATGTCAAAAATCTAAAAAGAGAGAGAAAATCCGGCATTGTTTTAAAAGAAACCATAAAAATGTACCGTACTTCAAATAATAGCCGAGTCCCAAATAGACGATTGTCTCTTTACACGCCTGGTGTGGCTGCAGGTCTGGGTAAATATAAGGCCGGTCTCAAATAGAGGTCGGGTCTGTTTTTTAGTTTTAGGTTGTATTAAATCTTCTAAAACCCGTCAGATCGTCCGCTTTTTGGCGGCCGCCAAAGCAAATTTTTGTCCCGCCAAAGCCTATTTTGATCGGTGAGTGATGTAGAATAGAATGACTGCTGCGCATGACAGGGCGCTTAAAGACCCACTCCGAGCAGAGAGAGAGAGAGAGAGAGCGAGCCCCGGCCGCGCGCGCGCACTCTCATGTCTTCAAACAACACGAGCGCTGTCTTGCTCTTTATTTGTCACATACCAGTTATAGTGAATTTGAGTGAATTGAGTGAATTTGAAGGAAAAAAAAAAAATTTGAAGAAAAATTTCTTCAAATTTTTCATTTGAAGAAAAATAAACACAACAGTTTTCTGTAGCCTTGTGCGAACTTATTCAATAGAATTAGACTTCTAGAATCTTTTTTTTTTTTTTTTTTAGTAGTTTTTCTTATCATAGCCTACAAATGTCTTCGGAAACACATTTTACTCGATTTACTGAAGCCTGTAAAATGCATTTGCAGCTGCACAGCTTGCACATTGAGCGTCTGGCTCGCTCAAGCCTTGTTTATACTCGACGCGTCCGCAAGAGCGCGAAGTGCGCGCGGCAAAAATGACGTCATTGCGGTGTGGGCGGTCGTGCGCGTTGGGTGCGCAAGACCCCATTTCGCCTGGCGGTGTGCACGGCACTTTTTGTAACATCGCGCGCGGCGCCGCATCCGAAGATGAACGACTTCGAGCCGAATCTGGCCGAACTGGTGCGTCTGTATCAGCATGTTTATGATCCTTCTATACACAGAGACATTTGCATTGATGGGCGACCATAAAAGCCTCTCATTTTTTGAATAGGAACACATTTACATTAAGCACCCAGTTTGCACTCTAAAGTAACTGCTTATATTTACAAAATAAGCCTACAATAGCAGAAGTAAGCCCTGCTGATGAAATTAAGGTTTAAACACTCTTCAATAAGGCTTCAGTTGTTTACTAGTTTACATGCAGTGAAAGTACAATAAACCTACTGCATTTATTACTCTTTTTATATGAATCAGAAATGAATAAACTACTAATAAAAGGCAAACTACTTCTTCACTGCTGATTCCTGGTGGTTTAGAGGAGAATTACTCCGAGTCGCCCCCTGTCGTTTCACAAAATAGCACAACGGCGAGCGCGTCAAGTATAAACGCCTCGTCCATATGGAGAGGTCCGCGCGCAGTCAGCGGAGACTCGCGCTCGTGCGGACGCGTCGAGTATAAACAAGGCTTTAGGCTGCGCTGCGGCAACTGCACATCCAATGGCGCGGGCGCCTCTGACGTGCGACCAATGAGCCAACTCTACGTCATTACACATCAGAGCCCGTCAAGGGGGCGCCAAGTCCCCGAATTTGCCATTATAGCAGCGGGTCTTCGTTCATTCATCATAGTCTGTCTGACATATATATTAGAAGCTATGCGTCTGTCATGGATTTGCACTGAATTGATTCTTAAAAATACGGAACAAAGTGCGTTTCCGTATCAGTTCAATACGGAACAAGCCTTTTATGTGTCAAATACGGAACAATTCCGTATTATACGGAACGGTTGGCAACCCTATTGAACACACACACAATTGAGGTTTTGTGTTGCAATCAATAACATTGTCGTTGTGCTAAAATTACTTTCATCATCTGATCCGTCTGACATTGTGCTAAAATTGGTTTCATCATCAGAAGTTTCGCAGTCAGACATGTTGTCAGCGAGTCGCGCTATCAACAGCTGATCGGAACGTGCGCACTGTTGACGTTGACAGCAGCGCGGATTGATAGAAATGGATAGAAAATAGTGCCGATTAAAACTGAGGTAAGAATTTTGACCGGCGTGTTTTTTGTGTGGTAAATTAATCAAGCTTTGAAACGCAAATATTTTTTTCACGTGAAAACGCACAGTTTTGTGGCACCGGAAAATGACCGGGAGTACTTCATTGAAAAACTTCCAGCGGCCAGAACTCTGACCAGGGAGGTGACAACAGAGTGGGGCAGTGTGCACTATAGTGCTGGTAAGGATTGCATACAACTTCATGTCTTAAATGGGCGAACTAACCCTTTAAAACCATTATAAAACAACAATCACTTAAAATATGGCAGGAATATTGGAACACAGTGGATACAGGACGTCATCTATACAGTATTCAAAATCAAGTAGTCACAAGCATGAGGAAGGGCAGAAGCCCAAGGGAGGAGATGTTAGTTTCACGTCTTAGAATGGGTCACACTGGTTTAAATGCAACATTGTATAAAATAGGAAAACACCCCACTGGATTATGCACTTATTGTGATGTACAAGAGACAGTGAAACATATTTGTTAGACTGCAAAAAATATGAAGAAGATAGAATAGAATTAAAGGCACAAATGGATGAACAAAGTTTTACACTTGAGTGTTTATTGGGGAAAACATCTGGGAAAATACACAAGCTGTTAATTTTGTTTTTAAAAAACACTGGGCTAGGCGAAAGAATTTAATAGAAGTTCCTCTATCTCTTTTGGATGCCAGTTTAATGTTCACACTCCAGTCTAGTAGGTGGTGGTAATGCACCTTTGAGATGAGTTGCCAACCGCCATTAAAACCTGAAAGAAGAAGAAGAAGAAGAAGAAGAACATTGGTTCATGTGAGATGTTTCATTTTTTTGATACAAGCTTCGAAGCCTCGGTGCCGAACGTCACATCACTACAATTTGGACCAAATCTGTTAAGCAAGATGCAACCCAGACAGCAACAAGGTGTCGGCCCACATATGGGCCGTGTGGAATCCACATGTACCAGACGTGGGCCGGATCTGGGCTGACACTACTGTATTCTGCTGTCTGTGAATGCAAATAGAAGCAGACTGAACAGCTCATCTCCAGTGGATGAAGCACCATCACACAAAAAGAGAGACTCATCTGAGGCCTGTTGTTTCAGCTTGAGATTAGTTTGAGCAAACTCCGTTTTTTTCTGGCTAAAGAAGGTGTAGGCTATGTGTTTTTAGCTGTGTTCATCGCAATGGTAACTTACGCTACATGTATAACCTGCTCCAGATCAGGTTTCATACTGGGTTAGAGATCGCAAACCAAAACTGGACCAATCATCTGTGTCCAAAATTACATAAAGCCACTCACTTTTATTCACTTGCATTGAAATAGTCAGATATTTTCTTTCAGTTGCCTTCTCAAACTAGCAGTGTTTATTCCTGCCTTGTAAATGCGTTTACATTCATGATATTTTTCATAACGATCTCATCTTGAGTAGAGAAGTGAACTGATGCTCTGGATCAAACCCTGAGTTGACGGGGAATGTTTATATTGAGGATTGTGAGCCGGCTAAACCTGATCTAAACCACAGTTGTATTTTTTTTTTTCAACTTTAAATCTACCCTCTTCATTCTATAAACTGAATTTCTACTTTGAGCTGAGATTAATTATTGAAATAGTTCATCCAGTCATCATTTACTCATCGTCACGTTATCCTCACGATTAAATTAAAATCATTCAAATATCCGTTCATTTCCACCCGTTAACTGACACTTTACACAATAAGTTATGTCTAAGAAAAAAAAGGACACAAGATTCTGCCTGATTTCTTTTATTTCTAGTTTTTCAATTGAAGTACTCGACCATTTTGAGTATTCAGAGTTTGTTTAAAGCAGACATTGCAAGCAAATCATTTTTAAATGAAGATACATGCAATATTGTCACTGTACTGTATTTTAATATGACAGATCACACTGTTGTACAGTCTGCTCTGCTCTTTGGTTCAGATTCTAGTTTACAGGTCATGGGGAGATGAAGCGGCTCCAGAAGATGATGCTCTTGGTGGGGTTGTGCCGGATGAAGAAAAGGAAGGGGCGGTCTGCCACGAAACCCCCTTGAATTTTATTACTGAGAGAAAGACCATGGACAACTGCATCACCGCCTGCATCCGCCTCTGTTCCTTCCTCGTTCACCTCCACCGAAGACTTATGCATCACTTTGGGCAGCTTTAACAGTCCAGGTGCCATGCCAGATAAGTCACACTTCTCATCAAACAGATCAGTTATGCCCAGACTCTTCAGGACCTCCTCCAGGTTATAATTCTCCTGCATCTTAAAGAGGGGTATTTTAACAGCCACATCTGTATAAATCATATTGTCCGGCTCAGTCCATTCCAGAAGCTTCTCATAAGTGATTGATTCTACCAACTTAGAGGAAGGGGAGAAAAATAAGAGACAGACAGAGAGAGAGTTTTAATTGTTTACCATTTCATGTAATACCAAACCTACACAACACTCCAAATTTTCATGTAGACTTTATCTTAATTATGCAGTTCCAAGTGAAGTAAAAGCAGTGAGGGAGGTTCAGTTGCTGTTCATGTGACTGCCTGTTTTACCTCCGGTAGCCTATCGCTCTGGTTTGGGAGTATAATGATCATGCTCATATCCTTATTCGCATAAGGGATCTCCAGAATCCGAGCAATAGGGGGATGTTTGGGTTGGTGTTGTCTGTGTGGGATGTTACCCAGAGGAAATTTATCCATCCGACTCATCATTGGCCAATTTACTCCTTTGTCCTGACATTTAAAACACAGACAGATTGGACATTAGTGATGCTGATGTGTTATCTGTGCTGAAGTTTCATTTCCTTTACAAACATTTCCTTTATAACACCAATTTTATCATCTCTACACTGGTTACCTATCAAGTTCCGTATCAATTACAAAGTACTATTACTGACCTATAAAGCCTTAAATGGTTTAGCTCCTGTGTATTTAATGGACCTTCTATCGCCCTACAATCCATCGCGTTCTTTAAGATCACTAAATTCGAGGCTTCTAGTCATTCCTAGGATATCTAAGTCCACTAAAGGAGGGAGGGCGTTCTCACATTTAGCTCCTAAACTCTGGAATAGCCTTCCTGATATTGTTCGAGGCTCTGACTCGCTGTCCCAGTTTAAAACTAAATTTAAAGACGCATCTCTTTAGCCAAGCATTTACATAATGCTTACCTTTTATAATACTGCTGAATCAGATCAAATGCATTTAATACTATAAAACTTGAAGAGACTGTAGGTTATCTGTATAGGTTGCATAGTATTTGCAGTCATTACGTTCCTGTGTATATTGCGTGAATGACGGGTGGTTGGGCAGATATTGTGTTGCGGTAGGTAGTATGCCATACGGAACCGTTGTCCACTGAAACTGCCTATTCACGCACCAGTGGGGCTCGACAGCCTTAGTCAACGGGTTGGCGCGTATGGTTGGGTTGCGGAGAGATTGTGAGATTGTGGTTAGGTCTCAGCAGCAGGAGGGATGTAGAGGTCAGTAAGCAGGGCTGAGTTGAGTGGGGGACGGAGGGGGGTTTTTTTTATGACGCAAGAGTCACTGTCTTCATGTTTTGTCATTTACGCCTGTGTTATGGAAATCATCATTATGAACAGCAGCTACGCTAATTATTTTCCCTTTGCTTTTCTGCTGTTATCTCGGGACGCGAGTCCCGAGAAAATGGCGTTCGTCAGCTCCAGTTTGTATCCAGCCTCTCACGGAGACTTCAGATGCTCCAATCACAAAGCCTATGAAGTGACGACTCAACACGGGCGATATGGACTCTCTATGGTGGACGGCACTGATCCTCAACAACTCGCCTTAAGACCGGCGTGCATACTTGGACTTCCAAAACAATCTGACTTGTAATGCTGCCCGAATCATGCACTGTTCCTTCGTTGGCCAGAGGAGAACTGGCCCCCTGACTGAGTCTGGTCTCTCCCAAGGTTTTTTTCTCCATTCTGTCACCTGATGGAGTTTTGGTTCCTTGCCACTGTTGCCTTGGCTTTTGGCTTGCTTAGTTGGGGACATTTAATATTCAATAATATTATTGATCTGCCTGCCTTAAGGTGGACGTTGACGCAATTTCTTTTAGAAACAAACTTTGTTATATTGTTTTCATGTTATCACTGTGAAGCGCTTTGATACAATCTGTATTGTAAAAAGCGCTATATAAATAAAGGTGACTTGACTTGACTTGACAAACAATAAGTGTACTTCAAGTTAATTTTTTTATTAAGTATACTTACGTAAAGTTCAAGTATATTTTTAAGTATACTAATATCAATGTAATAGTAGTAAACTAGTAAGTGTACTATTTCAATACTACTTGGGACTAAATTGGCTCTCTTTTTAGTGTATAAAAGTATACTTTTAAGTACACTTTAAGTGTAACCGTACTTTGAGAACACAACTAGATTACATCTAGGATTGTGCTGCAATTATACTACAAGTAAACAGAGGTATACTGATAGTTTACTAGTCAAATATTTGTAGCACATTTTTTAGTTTATGAAAGTACACTTTGACATACTCTCAGTAAACTACTTGTTTAGTAGTTTTATACTGCAAGTATACGTGTACATTTTCTTTTAATGAACTTAACATCATACTTATAGTTTGCTATTTATATATTATTTTTGCACTTTAAGTATACTACTATGTTCCTGTTTAGGTATTATTTTTTATACTTGAAATATAAAAATGCAAAAAAGGTCTGCACTCTAATAATAGTTTTAAAGGTGCATTGCGCAACTTTTCATGTTAAAAATACCTGTTTTTCTATCCTATACATGCTTAAAGAACTGCCTGATGGGCTGAATGAGCCCTTCTCTGCGCACTGAGATTGCCTCTATAATCCTGTACAGTAAAATATATAAGAGGGATTCGGGCTCGAATTTGAGACTGGGCGTGACGTCATGCGCGTTCACGCTCACCTGGCTATGTCTGGCAGGTTTCAAACCACTGATTTGAGGTTTGTGTATTCGCCGCAATTCTCCGTATCAGCGATAACTCGAGCGACAACTTTCGACAAAAGTAGAACATGGATTCAAAGAGACCGGCTTGTAGTTCATTCCAAATGCAGTTTCGCTTGTCGCCAAAGGCGGCATAGTTCTGCAAAAACTCAGAGACTTGCGCAATGCACCTTTAAGTTCAAGCAGGAGATAAAAACAGTTCAAACGTTTTGGCTGTCTGTCTTCGTCTTGAAATATACCTTTAACTGTAGGCTACTTTAACTCTTTCTCCACTAGCGTTTTAAATGTAAAAATTTTTTTTTTTATGTTGCCAGCATTTATGTTGCCAGCATTTTTGATCATTTTCACAAAATGTTGTATGTTGTATGAAAATGTGAACATGCAATATATCGAATAAAAAAACCCCAGAGCTTTCAGAAATAATAATTCTAACTTCATGCATTTATTTTTTTACGAACACTTGAATGTGGGAAAGATTAATAAGAATAATAAAAAAACACAAGCTAAGAAAATCCTGTTTTTGTCAAAGACTACTGAACGATTATGTGTATTTTCAGTTAACTTTAGTCAGATGCATTTACATAGTCACTGTGCCTCAGATGTAATCAACTCAATCTGTGTCTGTAAAGGTGTGAACCAAATGGCCCACAGAAACTGATTGGTGTGAATGACAAAGAATCAGCATTGCTCAGAGTGGATTAGCAAGTTAGATCGATCTCCTGTGGAACGTCCAAACAGGTTTCTATTGTTTGTAGCCCATAGGCTTTGACTTCATGTATAAAGTTCTGCCTCACAGACAGAACTTTGGGTTAAGATTATTGAAGGGCGACATGCTAACATCGCTGCGTAAGGACTGCTACACTACAAACCTTCAATAAATTCTTATCCCCACAAGAACTGGTCAAGCTTACTTATTTTATGTATTGGAGAAATCTAATACATTGGCGAGCCACCGAAACCACTGCTCGGTCAAATACAGCAAAATCTAACACTACGTCTGGATCAGATTCCGAACGATGATCAAAACACAGATGGAGTAGATCGCTTCCATCAACACCAAAAAGCTTCACAGTCCTGTACCTCATCCTGGATCGACATTTTATTCGGTAAAGTTAGGCAGTTTTATATGCTGTTTAAATATCTGTCAATGGCGGGGAAAGAGTTAAGTAGCTTTAAAGTAAATTCCTATGTACTGTTCACTAACCTACACAAAAATTCACATAGGAACATATCTGTTTTTTTCTTTACAAATCAATATTTTCCAACAATGTAGGTTAATAAGACACTATGTGAAAAACGTATTTAATAGGCTATTCAATCAAAAGTGTAAACACAACTATAAGCCAAGTTTACTTAGAATACTTAATTATACTTTTAAGTACAGAACTTGATCAAAAGTTCAAGAAAAGGCCAAATAACAGACTTTTCTGTCAGTATAAGTCAAGTGTCTTTAAGTGTAATTTTAAGTATGTCTGAGAAATACATAAAGTAAATTTCTGAGAAGTACATAACAAGTAGACTGAAATGGTAAATGGACTGCATTTATATAGAGCTTTCACAGACCCAATGGCCACCAAAGCGCTTTACATATTGCCTCACATTCACCCATTCACTCACTCATTCATACACCGATAACAAGTAGACTGAAAGGACTGTATAATTTCTTATTTTAGTTAAAAAAGAAGTATATACTAATAGCACATTTGAAACAGCACATTTATGTAAGGGGAGAGAGGCCAGATGAGCTGACAAAAACACTGGCACTAAAGCAATAAGACACAAGAGATCCTGCTTTACAGTGTTCGCCACTGGTAAGGGTTATGTTTTTGGCACAATGACAAGCTGAGAATTTCTCAGCGGTTTAGATGTGGATCGTCCAATTTTAGCATTTTACCATTTTTAGCAGACAAAGCTGAATTGTCTTGGCAAAGTTACCTGGTTGACAGGAACACTTTTGAATGGGTTGACCCACTTATCCATGAAGTGCACAGCGCTGATTAGAACAAGACTTGTGTCCTTAGTCACATCTCCTTTATCCAAATAATTCTTAATGTTCTCTAAAATAGAAAGATAAAAACATCCATCAAATGAGTGAGAAACTATGAGAAAGTGGTCTAGACTCTAGACAAATAAACTACATTTAATTGAATTACTCTCAGTCTTGTTCTGCACCCAGTCGTTGATTCGTTTTCTCGCAGCCTCAGGATCTGTCTTGAAGTCAGCATTCCTCAAGTTTGTGTAACACCACTCTTCACACATGTCAAGGAAATCCTATCATCAATAGAAAGAGAGGGAACATGGCAGCATGGGATTAAAATAATTCTGACCCATGCATCTCACTGAATGACGCATTACTTTACTGTCGATTTCAGGAAGTAAATTAACCATTCGCTGTGCTTTCTCAACCAACTCACATCTTTAAAATTGAGTGTCCTTTCTCCAAACAAGCGGTTCACCAACTTCAGGCTTCTGTAGTTCCCTCCTTTGTAGAGCTCGTCATACAGATCGTGGTACATAATTTTCTCATGGTTAAAGTGGAGGGTCTTAGGGGAAACATAACAGGATATTATTTAATATTGAGTGAAATGTATTCAGAGAATTTGAGACTGTGAAGTTTGAGGTGTTTTGAAGAAAGCATTGTCCAAATGAACATGTATTTCGCAATGTATCGCAGCCATCAATGCATTAAAGGGGACATGTTATGCAAAATTCACTTTTCACTGTGGTGTTACACAACCACCCTATAATGGTAGAAATCCACCCAATCCTTTGTTATATTTCCCATAAATCATAAACAGTGTTTTAAAATCAGTTGTTTGTGTTTTCTATACATTGTGACAGTGTAACAGCTTAGAACCTCCTGAGTGAGATTTTATGTTTATCTCCTCGCTAGAGCAGCTAGTGGAAACACAAGAATGTCTCAGCTACGTGATAAACAATCTAAATGTTCTGTTGTTGGCTATATCAATGATCCACTGTGCTACTTTGCCATTGCTTTTCACAGCCTCTCACGCAGGAAATTACGTTCTAAAAATGCAGCGTTTAAACTGAAAAAAAAAAAAAAACCACGTCTCTACACCTTGCCACCAAGTGTTCAACTACCGATGTGTTTTTAGAGCATGCATAAACATGAGATGAGAGTGAGTTTTGAGCTGTTTGGAGGCTTGAGCTCACCTTATACATCTGTGCGGCAGTTTGGCCATTGGCACCCAGCACGACCGGACCCAATGCAGAGGAGATGCTCAGGGGTGAGAATAACACATTGCCTGTGTTGACCTTACAGAGTTTTTTTAACAGGTCAATGGAGAATTTTAAGTTTGCCACAATCAGAGGTTCCATCGTTTAAAGTCTAGAATGAAGGAAATTCATTTTAAACATAATGTTAGACCAGCACAGAAAACAGTTTAGAAGTTCAAGAATAAAAAGATCAGAAAACAAAGTGTACATCCTGTTGAAGGTTTACCTGATGTCTTCTCCTAATGTGTGAAAAGTCAAATGTGGAATTTTTTATATAAAATCAAAACAACAAAACAGCCCAAAGCTCTTTAGCTTTAAAAAAGCACTGAAAGGAAAAATCTTTCCATCTTAATGAAAAAGGTTTTCAGTTTTTATCCTGGTCTAATATGCATAGGTGTGATTTACATCCAAACTCTTTAGAAGTTATAGTCACATGATCGAAAAAATGCTGTACAGTAACAATATTTTCAATAATACTGCCTTGAATAGTTTTTATTTATTTATCAGTTAACCTCAAACGAAGTGCAGTAGTCTGTTCTCTTACGAGAGGTTCTCTCGTATTGCGTAAGCTAGCTTACGCTACGGGAAAGATTCATCTTTTCTGAGAAATTGAAGCCAAAAAATTATCCTATAATTTTGAATCCATTGTCAACGCAGTTCAGCTGCAGCAGACCATGAGCGGGCTAGCTAGCAGCTCATTGGTTCGCTCACAGAGAACTGCTTAAGCCTATGAGGAGACGCGAATGAACTCTCGGCCACTTCCAGATTGTAAAATCTGACAAAGGTGGAGGGGGAAGCCCATCCCGCTGCCACACAAATGTCCTGAATGGAAATTCCGCTGGACCATGCCCACGATGAGGCCACGCCTCTAGTGGAATGAGCCCTGATGCCCAGAGGGCATGGCAGGTCTTTTGATGCGTATGCGGCTGCAATGGCATCAACTATCCATTGGGATAGAGTCTGTTTCGAGGCGGCCGTGTTATGACGCAATCGTCAGCCTATTTTTTTTAAAAACTGCTTCTACGGGGCCATAACGTAAGATACAAAGTAATGAAGCCTTTTATACATTGTCGTGTTTCTTTAGAAATAAATAATGGACAAATGGAGTCTTTAAACGCCTCAGATGTAAAGTTATTCGCTGTCAAAGTGATGCCAAAATGAATGGGAGTCAATGGAAATGCTAACGCAAGTGAAGTTCTGCTACAAGATGGCGGCACCCGGCCAGCTTCAACTTCCGGTCGATGGATTACCCCCTTGATTAGAAGACATCCTGTCATAGCTTTTTGGTACATAACGGCTACCGTAGATGCAACACACATTTGAAAACGCGAGGCGCTGGAGAGCACAATTCCTTTGAATGCAAAATACAATTTCACCGCTAGATGGGAGTAAATCTTACTTCATGCCCCTTTAAAATTAATTAGGTGGATCTGAAATTAATATTACTGACACAGTAAAGCAGAAGATATAAAATTACCATCTTAAGTCAAATATTTTTGTGAAGCATTTTGCATTGTACATTTATATCATTTGTTATTACTACTACTGTTGTAGTTAAAATCACAAGCTTCTGAAATACTTACTGATAAAGAAAGTGATGATTCAATCTTTCCTTGATACAAGTGTGTCTTCACAACTGCTCTTCTGACACTAGTCTCATTGCTTCCAGTTATAGATATATATAGATAGACTCTCTCTCACACACACGCACGCACACACAGACAGAGAGAGAATGTGAGAAATTACCCCATTATTTACTAGCAACTTCTTGTGAAATCAAAATCCTGTGTAAACCTGTACCAACACTCTTTAACCTGAAAGATTGCCTTGAGCTGGCTTGGGCTCAAGATACCAATTACATCATATATATATATATGTGTGTGTGTGTATAAAAAAATACTGATACAAAAAGAAAGCATTTAATGATAAAAAAGAAAGTATTTTTGCAGATTCTCACATCATGTAACATATCTTGGTGGTCCTTTACAAATCTAACTTCACATTAATGCTGAATAATATTAATTGAGACAAGATAAGACAGATTTCTGTATGCTGTTAAAAACTTTCCAGATAGAGCAAGCATATCTTGCCTAACACACATTGAATTGATTTTTTTTTTTGGTTAGTGCCCTTTGTTTGAGGATAAATGATAAATAAAACATATTCAAAGCAGTATTATTGAAAACTTTGTCACTTTACAGAAGTTTTCCAACCGTGGCCATAACTTCTGCAGAGTAGGCCTATAGGTGTAAAATGCACATATGGAAATTACAGTAGTGGTTGACCAGGACTTTTCACATATTAGGAGAGTACATTAATGTTGCTTGTCCGTGGCTGGAACAGGATGTACACTTTGTTTTCCGATCTGGTCATTCTTGTATTTCTTTACTGTTTTCTGTGCTGGTCTGTTTTCTAAAATAAAAGCATTTTAAAATATAAAAAAAATCTATGTGAGTGCCAAATTATCTCTTCAATGCGACAGGATCCACCTAAAATCTTTTGCGTTTTGTTCACCTTCTGGAGCAACCATTCTTTTTTCTTTCTTTTTTTACCAGATGCCTGTTGGAAAAGATTTTTTTCTATTACAGGCAATGTGTTATTCTCAGCCCTGATCATCTCCTCTGCATTGGGTCCTCCTGGGTGCCAGTGGCAAAACTGCCGAATGGGGTGCATTTCCCGAAAGCATCGTTAGCCATGCAACTATGGTCGCAAATTCCGTCGTTATCAGCACAGTTCAACAAGTCGATGTTTCCCGAAACCATCGTTCCAACGAACATTCGCAAACAGCATCGCAAAGTTGTGTGTTTGGAGCGACAGCTCTCGACCTGTGGTTAGAAGCAGAGATTGCATGACATGTGGACTTCATAAATCCTTAACTTGAGCAAATAAGCAAGCTGACATTCAGTACAACCCGTGTCTTTTATTTAGAATACATACAAATGTGTTTGACATCTTTGAGTTTGTCAAGATATTTAAAGCACCGTTTTTGAAGACTGCGCATGTGCGAACGTGCTCTACTATGTAAGAACGAGCCTATGATTAAATCTGGAAATAAAGCGAAATAACTGAGAAAATAAATATTTCTCAGATGCCATGTCATTTATATAACATATATCAAAACATCTAGCATTAATTCGATCTCAAACAGTTTAATTAAAATAAGTTATTACTCGACTCCTGTGTGAGGTCATAAACCAATGTGGTTGAACGACCACTTTGCGACAATATGGTTTTATGGACAATATGGAAACAGTCGTGCTAGTAGATTTCATCAACGATGCATCGTACGGTAGTGAAGCATCGAGTTACGTCGTTGTATGGGAAACACACCTGATGTATAAGGTGAGCTTAAGCCTCCAAATTTGGATAAATAAATATCTTATCTTAGTATTATTTAGACTGCAGACCCGGGAGTTATCGGTAGGAGTGAAGTTCTCGCGTCTTATCTTGACTAGCCACTGAGTGCGTAACGTTACCTCAGGCTGATGCGGAAAACGATAAAAAACTTACTTCAGAATTATACCTCGATGAAACGGCACATCGAGGAACACCACAATGTAATTTAGAGTTGCCAATTTGACACTGATATGCAAGACGTTTCTTATTTACTTTTAACATTTTACATACGGTACTCACTGATAGCTTGCCATTCACTTTTCAACAACATCTACATCGGAAATACCGGTAGTAACCTAAACCGGAAGTCCCCCCGCCCACCACACAGATTTCGAACCTTCGTCGCATCACCCTGTGCACAGAGCGAATAAGTTTAAGGTTGTACCTCAGAACGTAGGCTCACTATTGGCCAGCATCACACGCATCACACACATGAACAGCGCCAGCCAATAGTGAGCCTATACATTCTGACGTACAACCCAGAAGCGCTGCGCTGTTACTCTACGTGAACTCACTCAGAGGCCCACACAGAAGAAAATCAATAGTTGAATAAAGTCATTATTTTTGTGTTTTTTGCGCACAAAAAGTATTCTTGTGGCTTGATAAACTTAAGGTTGAGCCACTGTAGTCACTTGGACTATTTTAAACATTGTCTTTATTAACTTTCTGGGCCGGCAAGTTTCAATTACAAAAGAAGGAGTGAGACAGCTCTCAGATTTAATCAAAAATATTTTAATTTGTGTTCCGAAGATGAACGAAAGTCTTACGGGGTTGGAACAACATGAGGGAGAGTAATTACTGACAGAATTTTCATTTTTGGGTGAACTATCCCTTTAAGGCAGTGGTTCCCAATTCCGGTCCTGGGGACCCACAGCTCTGCACAGTTTGTATGTCTCCCTCATTTAACACACCTGATTCAGATCATTAGCTCATTAAGAAAGAGTTATATGAACTGAACTGGGTGGGTGCTTCTCAATATCCCTCCTCGTCTCCTCGCTCCTCCGTCCTCCATCCTATGACCCGGAAAACAATCGAGCTCAGCCATCTTGAAGGACATCTCAATTCTCTAATTGCACCGCGAGGAGGCGAGGATCGAGGAGTGAGGAGGCTTCCAGAGGAGCTATGAGCGAGGATACACAGGTGTACCCTTTGCGGAAGAGTTTTATCGACTAAACATGACGCACGTATCAATTCTCCTCCCCCTTCACATCTGTCACAATCATTTGAATTTATACTTTACTTTTGTAGTTTACATAAACCACACAACTCACATATTTCAACAAGGTATCTTGCTTTATTATTATTTATTATGAATTTCTTAAATAAACTAACTTTAACAACATAAGGGCAGATCCTTTGAGCACTCCCGATGACGCAGTGAAGTGACGCTCGAGTGATCAAGTATTCCAATGTATTAAAAAAGCTTTCATTCAATTCCTCCGTCCTCGTTTTTTTCCCTTGCAGCCTTCCCTCGCGTCCTACAGGGGGTGGAGCTGAGACGTGAGGAAAGGAAGCGAGGAAAGGAAACGAGGATGCACAAATAAGAAATGAGAAGCACCCATTGTGTCAGATAAAGGAGACATATAAAATGTGCAGAGCTCTGGGTCCCCAGCACCGGAATTGAGAAGCACTGCTTTAAGGCTTCAACCATCGTCTACATTGATTTCAGTTCGTTGTGCTTTTCCTTTGTACCTTGAGATGCTTTA